AACTTACTTAACTCAACTAAAAACAAAAACCTTGAAATAAAAAATGACTTTCTTCTAAACAGTAATTTAGGTGAGCTAAGACCCTAGAAAGCATGTGGTCCTCAGCCAGGCATGGTGGTACATGCTATAATCCCAGCACTCTAAGAGACCAAAGCAGGAAGATCACAACTGTGAGTCAAGTCAGGACAATTTAGTGAAACCCCATCTCAAAAAATAAAAAGGGAGGAGATCTGGGAATGCGGCTGAGTGTGAAGGCCCTGGGTTCAACCTCCAGTACCATGAAAATAAAGGAAGAAAAGAAAGCAAGCATGCAATCTTCCATCACCTCAGGGACTCGGTAAGACCAGTGGTATAACACAGTGCTTTTGGACCAGAAGCCCTAGAGAAAGGATCAGAAACCAACATAATATAAATACTAGCAAACAAGGTTAAAAAAAAAATCACTGTGCTCAACAGCACTCCAAAAACCCCAAAAATAAAATTTCAATATTTTCATTTTTAAAAATAATGACTTATTAAGATCATCTGTCATGAGTAAAACAGAAACTAGTATCATAGAGCAATAATAATTTTAAAAAGACTTTAAGTATATTAGTAGATAGGCTAAATATCTCAATAGAAAAGATGCCAAGGTGAAATCTGAGGACAAAATAATGGCTCTTTAGAACAAGGTTTCCTTCAGCTAGGTGTACAGAATGTGTAGGCATTAATGCACTGAATAGGAAGGCAGTATCTTCCAGGCCAATTGGACAGATAGATAATGGCATTAGAGAAGTGCAGGGGGTGCTGCTTAACATATATGAGGAGCAGCAAAGGTCAGGTGGGTGGTGGGCAAAGAACTAACAGGAGAAAGGTGGTAACTAAGACCAGAGAGGCAGTAAAATCCAAAGGAGACAAAGCCTCATGAAGGCTTTCAGTTAGCTGCTGATTTACAAAGCAAACAGAAGCAAGCCTACAATTAAGTACCCATACAATTACTGAGATTAACCCCTCTTTCCACCAACATTTGTTTTTTGAGACAGGGTCTCACTATGCAGTCCAAACTGGGCTTAAGCTTGTAATCCTCCTGCCCCAGCTTCCCAAGTGTTGGAATTATAAGCCTGTGCCACCACACCTGGCCAAAACCTTTTTTGGAAGAAAAAATAAAAAGGGATTTGAGTTTTTATCATTTTCTGTTTTCACTTTTACTAATTTTACTTCATTTTCATTTGGCTTCCTTGTCATCATTTTTCCCATGTCAACCCGGAGTAGTGGTGCACACCTGCAATCCCAGCACTCAGAGGAGGTTGAGACAGGAGGATTGCTGAAAGTTTGAGGCCAGCCTGGGATACAAAATGAGTTCAAGGCCAACCTGAACTGCACAGTGAAACCCTGTCTCAAAAAGATAAAAAAAAAAATTTTAAGGTAGATTAAATTGCATTATGAATTGGAAAAACAGGGAAAAACATAAAACATTAAAATGATTATTACAGAGGTAAAAGCTACAAGATTTTCTGTAAGACACACTGAAATTGCATTAAAACAGTCTGAAGGAAAGAGTGGGGAACAGATGTAAAAATGCTGAACAGAAATATAGTTGTCAGGGGGCTGGGGATTTAGCTCAGCGGCACAGTGCCTGCCTGGCAAGCGCAAGGTCATGAGTTCGGATTACTGGTACCAGAAAAAAAAAAAAAAGGAAATACAGTTGTCAGAACCATCTTCACTGTTATCAGAAAAAGTAAGTAAAAAAACAAAAACATCATGAACCTTTTATTTTTTCCTCTTCTCTTCCAATATTAACCCTTAATTAACTGAAACCTGAAGATTATTTCCACAATTTTAATCCAACAGATTACAGTCAATTGAACAGATTGTTCAAAATTGTTCAATTTTTTCATTAATCAGTGTGTCAAACACACTGTATTCTCATCCCATCCTCCCAGGATTCTTATAAATTAATTTAAAAAATTAACTATAATAGAATACTCTTAATTATTACTCTTTCAATATTCTAGAAGTTTATATATTTAATACATGAAAATAAAAATATAAATGTTTGAATATTTTAGAGGTATGTTTTCAAAGTGATGAACAGCACGTACATCTGCTATTAACAGAAGTTATGCACTGAACTTTGATATACCACTTTGAAAACTTACCAATCAGAAAATGTCATTTTTACCTCTTCTTGTCCAAACTGCTCCATAGAATCACAGTAAACTTCACTGTCTGAATCACTTGTCAAGTGCTGAATCCCTGAAACATCTTCAACACGATCATCATTTATATCTAAAGAGGAACAGATATCCAGGTAATGTAAGTGTATCCTACTAGAAAATAATTTATTCATTCCATTCTCAAAACTTATCAGCTCTATACTATGTTCATACTGAAATGCAAATTGGATTCACCAAGATAAACTTTTCTTTAATATACCAAAACTTTCAATTTAGTTGACAGTTTTTATTTGCAAGGTAAGAACATATTTTGTCATTTAATTCTATAAAGACACTGTCCTGACAAAAATCTCAGAAAACCTAATAACCTTGTAAGAGAAAACAGACTACTAGTGAGGACTACTCCTAAATATGGTATGTAATGCTGCAAGTTTGATTGTTACACTAAGAAATGATGTTTCTGCACTTGCTCACAGCAATACTAATAATTTAACACATACATAGGCTCACTCTAGAGACTGAAGCCATGAAAAAGCTGTACCTTATCTAGATGATTAGAAAAAAAAGGCATCATATAATGAGAGATCAAAAGAAATAATCAAGAATAAAAGTAAATCCAGCACTTGGGAGGCTGAGGCAGGAGGATCATTGCGAGTTTGAGGCCAGCCTGGGCTACAAAGTGAGCTCAAGGCCAGCCTGAACTGCATAGCAAGACCTTGTCTAACAAAAAAAAAAGTAAAAATTTCAAAGATTTTACTTTAAAAGTTACATGATAACAGAAAAAAGATCTCAATAAAAAATATAAAAGTTCTGTCCCTAACATACTGTCTTTCAAAAATATAAACCCTTATTTTTAAGCCTTAAAATTTCTGTTATGGTGCCAGGAATGGAACTTGGGGCCTTGCGCTCACCAGGCAGGCACTGTACTGCTGAGCTATATCCCCGGCTCCAAGCCCTAAAATATTATTTTAAAATATTTTTAAATTCTAAACTATTCCTAAATATCCTAAGATTACTAAATAATACTATTCATTGGGAAAAGGCTAGACAAAGATGATACCTTGGTGAAGACAGACAGCAGTTTTTCCAGTTTCCTCCAAGCTTTGCTCTACAGGTTTTCCTTCTTCAGCACTTCCACCATTCAGGGAAGAAGTGGCCTGAATGTCATCTTGTATATCCTGAATAAAGCTGTCTTTATCATAACCATTAGTGACAATGATTTCCAAATTCTTATGCTCTCCTGATTTCTTCATCATTTTCTTATCTGGTAAGAAAAATTGAACGAGTCATAAAAGTTCATAGTAGGTCAACTTCTGCATACTACGTACTAGTACCCACTAATCATTTCTGCAGACTACTGTAAACTCTTTGAAGGTTTCCATGTGGGTCAGAGAGATGGGGTGACCCTTGAAAAGAGATTTATTATATACCGATAGTTCACCCAAAATCTGTGTTGGCTGCAGACCTGCTTCTGTTTCCTGTAAATCTTCTAAAATCCCTTTTAAAAAATAATCTCCTGAGGTGTTTCCTCTCACTCAGCCTCAGGGAAACTGTTACAGAGATGAGATCTAGCATTGCAAAAGGGTCTCCAAAGTTGATAAAAAGATCCTTAAAGACTAGAAAGTGAAGGCAAAGTAAGTTGTGTGGTTTACTTTAGTGTCTATCTCCACTTTCTAAAACCGTGTTCCCCTAAAACACTGTTAGTCCCACTAACAAGACTACCAGCATGTAGAGCACCATGATTCCAGGGCTCCCTCTTCATCAAAACCCATGACACAGGGCAACATACGGAATGTACAGCTTGGTGGCAAAGCACCTGCTACCACGGGTAAGACCTTGGGTTTGATCCTCAGCACCATAATACGAAGCCACAAGACAGAATTGAGGCCTGTGTTCTTCTTCTTTGGATTCCATTTTATTTTTCATAATTGAACATCTTAACTTGTTTCCAGTCCTTGGTTACATATGCATATTCATACTGGAAATAATACCTTAAAATATTACATGTCAAAAAAAAAAAAAATACCACACGTCCAGTGCAGCATTTTATGCACTGCATTTGGACAGTGGACTATTCTCATCAGCCTTCAATTAATACTTATTTCATTTATGCATAAGACCAGTTATCCTATTCTGTGTAGTAGGGCATTTTGGTCCACAGCAAACCTATGTAGAAACAACAGCCCATATCCCACCCCATGCATTCATCTGACACGGTACCAATCAACCCAAAGGGCGTCACGTCTTATCTTATCTTACTTAGTGCAAAATTACAAATCCAGTATCTAAAACTTACCATTATCACTTTGTTCTGCCCCCTTTCCTTCCTCCTGAGCCTCCTCTTCCTCCGACTCGGCTCCGCTATCACTGCTTTCAGCTTTCCCATTAACAGTCTTGGCATTTGGAGTAGAAGTCAGAACATTACCAAGATCTAAAACATGAAACGACCACTTAATCACTAATATACTAACAGAAAGTAATGCTGGAATTTACAAGTAACTAGTAAAATCAGTGTGAAATAAACTATAGGGATTTTATATATAATTAACAGTATTCTGTCTATATATATAAAGACAAATTCTTTCAATTATCAATTTATAGGAAAAATGATAAAGCTACCTTAAATCTTTCTAAACAAGAAAAGGGATAAGTTCCTTTTAAATTAACATTAATTAATAAGCAAAGATAAGCCAGGCACAGTGGTACACGCCTGTATCCCAGCACTTGGGAGGCTGAGGCAGCAGGACTATTGCCAGTTTGAGGCCAACCTGGGCTACAAAGTGAGCTCAAGGTCAGCCTGAACTGCACAGCAAGACCCTGTCTCAAAAAGACAAAAGGCAAAAAATAAAAATATAAAAATATAGTAAAAGTACAGATAAATGATCTTCATACATACTAAGTGAAGAGGTGCTTGCTAACCTGCTGAAAATATAAAATATTTAGTCTTACCAACAATCTCATCAATATTATACGTGGACTCCATTGTTTAAAAACTTAATCCTTTGTTATCATGAGGGCTTTATATGCACAATTTAACGTTTTCTTTTTTCTCTTCTTTTTTTGGTCTTCTTGAGACAAGGTTCCACTCTGCAGTTCTGACTAGCCTTCAACTCACTTTGTATCCCAGACTGGCCTTGAACTCATGGAAATCCTTCTGCCTCAAGCTCCCAAGTGCTGAGATTATAGGTGCACATCACCACACCCAGCTAACAAGTAACATTTTCATGTATTTACTTATTTATTTATTTGTTTATTTATTTAGACAGGGTCTCACTATGTAGTTTAGGCTAGCTTTGAACTCACTATGTAGCCCAAACTGGCTTTGAACTCCCAGAAATCCTCCTGCTTCAGTCTCCAGTGCTGGGATTACAGGCGTGAAACACCATGCCTAGCAATATTTAAATTTTTAAAGCATCAATTATTGTGATCTATACACAAGGAAGCAATTGTTGTAAAGATAGTTATACCCTAAGTGTAAATACACTGGAGTTTCTCAAACTATAATGTCCCTATAAATCACTTCAGAGCTCATCAGCAGGCCTAATGTGATCTAAGGTTCTGCATTTTCATAAAGCTCTTTTTAAAATGCTAAAGACCTCCTCAGCCAGGCGTGGTGGCGCATGCCTGTAATCCCAGCACTCAGAAGACTGAGGCAGGAGGATCGCCTGCCATGAGTTCAAGGCCAGCCAAAACAGAAGAACACCTAGCAAGTACAAGGTCATGAGTTCAATTCTGCACCCAAAATAAAAGAAAACCATATAAAAGACATCTTAAAAATGCCAAAAGGAGTAGTCTTCTTTCACACTATACAGGCTTTATTTTCACTTACACAAATACATTTTTGGTGCTTCTCTGGATCTAAAACATGTTCAATTCTAAAATACTCATAAATATTAAGCATGAAGGCCTGCATTCTTATTTAAATCTGTTTAGTTAATGGAACAAAAAAATAAAAATTGTACTCTTTTCTGTTAGAGAATCATGGCAGTACTACAGTTTGTTTTTGTGGTGCTGAGAATCAAATCCATGACCTTGTACATGGGAGGAAAATGTTCTGCCTCTGTACACTCCCAGCTTTCAAGTATTGTCTTATACACTGATTGCATGTGTGCATGTGTGGAGCCGGGGTTTTAATCTAGGTCCTTGTGCATGCTACGTGCACAAATAGCATATTTTTTTGTTTTGCTTTGTTTTTAGTTTATTAGTACATGTGTTATATTACTTGTGAGAATGACAACCAAAAAAGGCATGAATAACACCAATTAAAACAAAAACTAGGCTAGGCATGGTGGTATATGCCTGTAATCCCAGCACTTGGGAATTTAGGAGGCTGAGACAGGACAACCACCAGGAGTTAGAGACCAGCCTGGGCTACACAGTGAGTTTAAGAGTAGCCTGAGCTACAAAGTGAGACCCTGACTCAAAAACAAAACAGAACAAAAACTTATCACCCATGAACATCTTCAACAAAATGTATCAGGGACTCCCCCATCCTCCAGCATTCATCAAATTAAGGATTCTAACAAAATAACTTGACAGAAGAAAAAAGCACTATGGCAGTTCTGTCACAGAGTTATAGAAAGTACAGGGAATTACTGATAGGCCCTACTCAACACTGCAAACCAATTCATGTAACATCCTTTATTAAGAGACTAACTGACAAAAAAAACATTTGATTATTACAATATGAAGAAAACACTTAATAAAATCCAAAACTTTTTCATGATGGAAAAAAAACTGGGAAAACTAAGATTACAAGACATTTTTTCCTCTATCCAACAAAGGGCTGCTGGAAAACCCACAACTGCCATCTGTATGTTAAAAGACTCCTAAGATGGTGAGCATGGTGCAGCAAGCCAGCAGTCCCAGCTACACGGGAGGGACAACAGTTAAGCCGAGGCAAGAGATCCAGCCCAGGAATTTTAGGCCAGACTGGGCAACATAGTAAGATCCCATCTTCAAACAAACGAACAAGTCATGGTTTGTATCTGATGTCCCCCCAAAGCTTCATGCAGTCATGGGGCAGGATTCTACAGTTTATGACTGATTCAGGAGTGTGAGAGCTACACCTGCCCTGGGGCGGGTAGTTTGCATACAGGGTAAGGGAAAGAAAGAGGCTGCTTGGCCTGCTCCTCCCTTTTTGCTCTTGCTGCTTTTGCCAAGTTTTTTCTGCCACCATGAACTGTTGCCCTCTGAAACGTGCCACCCTGCCTTGGGGCCAGCTGAGTATGGGCTGAAACCTCCACAGACTGCGAGCTAAATAAACCCTTGCTTCCTTAATTTTGGGCATCAGGTATTTTGTCTGAGCAATGAGAGAAAAGTAATGAAGACACAAACCAACAACCTTTCTAAAATAAGATGAAGTTGTCTGCTCTTGCCATCTGTGATAGTTTAGATCTAAACTGTTCCCCCAAAAGTCTCATGTTTGGAGACAGATCACGGGGCTCTGGGGTTAATGCACTGATGACTTCAAAGCCTACTGTGCTGCTAGGAAGTGGGTCCTGTTCAGAAGAGGTGGCCACTTGGGCATGAATAGAGGGCACACTTTTCTCCCCAGCTCCTCCCTCTGTGTGACTTATTGCCAACTGGTGGTCAGCTTGTAACACCCAGCTAAATTGAACCAGTGTGGTGCTGGGTGTGGGAGGCCCATCTGAGGATTATTGCCAGCAGCATAAGAGGCAGAACTCGGGTGCTGTTAGAACTGTAACGAACTGTTGGTTCTCTTGGAGGAGCTTGTCATGCTGGCATTCCTGATGAAGTAAGCTGTACTCACTGTCGCAGGACTTTGGCACCTTGTTGTTGCTGAGAATGGTTTCGGTTCACTTCGGGGGAGCTCTGGTCCTCACTCTCAGCATCACTTCCTGGCTCTGGAGGGGAGAAGCTTGTCACGCTGGCTTTCCTGATGGGAATTCAGCTTTCCTCATCGTCGGAGGAGCTCGGGACCCACTGTTGCTGAGGATGGCTCTGGTACTTTTGAGGGGAGCTCTGGTCTTTACTTTGAGCATCGCTTCCTGGCTCCAGTGCAGATCCCTCAGCCTGCTGGCACAGATCCTTCATCCCACTGGCACAAACTTTCTAGCTTCCATCACTGACATTTGGGCCTTTCCAGCCAGATCCGTGAAACAGGCCTGCATGAGACAATGCCGTGGGCTCTAGGCCTCCAGCTGGACTTGTGGGAAGCATTGTTATGGACTCTAGGTCTTCAGCTGGACTCATGCAGGACATTACTGTGGGATCCAGGCCCTCAGCTATATTCTTTGGTCTTTAGTGTATGGACAGATTTCCTTCACTCTCTTGTATGTGATACTTTGGGTGACTATTATAAATAATCTTATAAAATATGTGTCCTCTATTATATTGTTCCCCTTGCAAAAACCCCAAACTATGACACTCTGTCTCCGCTTTCTGGCTGTCGTAGGTTGAGCAGTTTTCCTCTCCATGCCCTGCTGCCATTTTGCCATATCTGCCCTGGAGTCAGTCATGAAACCATGAGCCAACATAAGCCTCTCCTTCTCCAAGTTCTGACTGCAGCATATTCTGTCCTAGAGATGGCAAAGTGACTCATGCACCATTCTTAGTATTATATTCTAAGTTCTAGCCAGGGAAGTTGGGCAACAACAATTTAAGAGGCATTCAGATTAGGAAGGATGAAATAAAATGATCTGTTTACAGATGGCACATACAGAAAACCCTACAGAAGCTACAGAAAAACTATTAGAATAAACAGCTCAATGAGAAAACAGGATAAAAGATAAACTGCACTTTTACAGACAGTGAAATAAAAATGAAATCAGACAGTTCAATTTACAGTCCCATCAAAAGGATAAAATATTTAGGAATACACTTAACAAAACACATAAAACATACTGCAAATGACAAAGTACTATACAAAGAAACTGAAGATCTAATAAATGAAAAGACATCGCATGTTCATAGTTGTTGAGATGACAATACTTCCCAAAATGATCTACAAATTCCTTGGAATCAAAACCCCAGCTTTTACATAAAATGCATCAATATTCTAAAAATCGTAAGAAAATGAATCTACTATCAAGAATGACCAAAACTGGCAGGAGCACTCATCTGCCTGGCAAGCACAAGGTCCTCAGTTCGATTCCTGGTACAAAAAAAAAAAAAAAAAAGACCAAAACAAGCTAGAAAAGAACAACATTATAATACTCATACTTCTAATTTCAATGTACTATATTGGTACTGTGAAAGACTATGTGAAACTGATACATCTGTTCTACTAGGCTTAAACACTACTTTTAATAAGATGTTTTGCTGGAGACATAGCTTAGCAGCATAGCACCTGCCTGGCAAGCATGAGGTCCTGAGTTTAATTCCTGGTACCAAAAAAAAAAAAAAAAAAAAACATGTTTTGTTTTTTTAAAAAAATGTCAAGACTGCAAATTATTTTGCCATTAGGTAATTCCTGTAAGAGTATAAATATTTGTAATTCTATTTCTAATACTGTTTCCTACAGATATACTTCCATGTATGTAAAATGGCATTAAATACATAGTTGCTCTCAGTAGCATTTTTTGAAGATCAACAATAGAAAATGATCGACATGTCCATCAGAATGGCTCTGATTAAACAAACTGTTTGGGTCCACAATTCCTAACTTACAACCCCTTAGATCCAGATATAATTTAAATCCAAAATTTTCTAATTTTGTGAAGATCATATGGTATACTATATAACAACTCCAACAGAGACTCAAGAACCTCTCACTAAAAAAATTGGTAAAAGATTTGCACAGAAAAATGTAAACAGGTTTATTTTATTCATTTATTTATTTATCTATTGAGACAGGGCCTTGCTATACTGTTCAGGCTGGCCTTGAACTCACTATGTAGCCTAGAGTGGCCTCAAACTCATAGCAACCCTCCTGCCTCAGCCTCCCGAGTGCTGGGATTATGGGCGTGCATACCACACCTGGCTTTAAATAGCATTAAATGACAAAAAGAATCAAACTAGCTTCACATTATTTTAGATTGTGTTTTGCCCATAGATTAGTTCACATCAGCTTTAGGGATTATTAAATCATAGTTAAGTAGCTGAGTACCTGACAGAGGAAACATTTCACTTTTCTTTTCTTAAGGAAATAAGCACAAAGCATAAAGACTATTTGTTAATATTTGACTCCTCTAAGAAAATCAATCAGATATAAAAAGGTGTGGTACATAATTAAGCCCAGTATCAGTTGCATATGATTTATTACCATGCCAGACATAAACTACAAGGTTTTTATTTTAGTACAGGAAAATTACTGCTCTGAAGTAATGAAAATCTTCTGTCAGTTATTAAAAGATGCCTTGTAAACAAGAATTCCAGGCTAATTTTTAATTAAAGTACATACAATTTCCATTTAGATTTACTCTTGTGGGCTTAAGATGATTCTCTAAAAAAATTTCTTTTAGCAGATAGGGTCTCGCTTTGTAGTGCAGGCTGGCTTTGACCTCACCGTGATCCTCCAGCCTCAGCCTAATGAGTGTTGGGATTACTTAAACAAAATTTAAGGAGCAAATGTTTACAGTTATTACCATAAAATTTTCCATTTTATTTAACTGCTGTTAGTAAGCAAAACATAACTCTTTTAATCTTTTACTGAAAAAAATGAAAAAAAGTTAAATAAATTCACTGATCCCTTATTTTACCTTGTTATGTCAAGAGCTAAACCACATTGTAAATATCCATTTTAAAATTTGGTAGAAAACCATTTAATCCATGGCACTGTTAATACATAAAGCACAATGGAAAATAAATCGTCAAAATGAAATCATGATGTGGTGGTGTGGTGGTGCATGCCTATTATCCCAGCACTTCATACACTGAGATAACAAAAGAATGAGTTCGAAACTAGCCTGGGTTACATAATGAGACCTTGCCTCAAAATAATTTTAAAAATAATAATAATAAAATAAAATCTGAGAGAAAAGAAAAAAAAAGCAAAACAAAAATGTTATAATTTTGTATATGCTAAGTGAAGTATCTGGCATGTTTTAGTACTTAATACTTAACGGCTGAAAACTTTAAGGGTTTATTGTATTTTGGAACTTCAACATATTTGCTTGGAATGAAACCTCTTGGAATGACAAGTTATTACACAAACTTGTGCAAAATTCTTTTGGTATATACATACAGACGCAAGTTTTACATGGATTTCATTATTCCTACCTTCTAAATATTTAGAGATTTTCTCCAGTCGGACTGGCATGTGAAAGTAAAAATAAAAATTAGATACACAAATATTAATGCATGCATAATAAATGACTGATTAAATTTAAAAATAGGTGAAAGAGTCTAACCTGAGGTTAAGTCAGAACTCCTGCCACTCTTTTTGTCTTCTACAATTTCATAAAATGGACCTATGACACGTAGCAATTCTTCAACTTTCTCAGTCATTGGCATAGTTTCAATAATCTGTAATCGAAACAAGCAAGTATTGTGAAATCAAACTATTGATTTAATCTATAACAGTATCAAAAATTTGTTAACAATTTATCAAAATTGACAGTTGAAGTTCATCAATAAACCTTTTTTTTTTTTTTTTTTTTTTTTTCTTTTTTAGTTTTTCGCCGTTACCGGGAACCGAACTCACGACCTTGCGCTTGCCAGGCAGGCGCTTTTGACACAGGGTCTCACGATGCACTTCAGGCTGGCCTTGAGCTCACTTTGTAGCCCAGGATGGCCTCAAACTCGCAAGGACCCTCCTGCTTTAGCCACCCTAGTGCTAGGATTACAGGTATGCGCCACCACACCTGGCATCAACAGACCTCTTAAAGCATTTACATTAATCACATATTTATTGTATGAGTGCTCATAGAAAAGTTTCAAGTATATTTAAGATCTACAACTATTTTCATTTTGAAGACTTTTTTTTCTGTCTGTTTTGAGACAAGGTGTCATTATGCAGTTCAGGCTTGGCTTGAACTCACTTTGGGGCCCAGGATGGCCTTGAATTCACAGCAACCCTCCTGCCTCAGCCTCCTGGGCACTGGGATTACAGGCATGTACCACCATGCCCAGCTCTTGAAGACTATTTCAATAAAAAGCTTCATGTAAAACTTTACATAATAATCTATAAATTGTGCATTGAAAACTAGGGGCTTTAATTAACAGAAATACAGGTTAGAATAAAATTATGATGTCTTTTCTTTAAGATGTTTCTAAACAAGTATAAAAATAAAGTAGGAGCCAAGCATGGTGGTGCACAACTATAATGACAGCACTCGGGAGGCTGAGGCAGGAGGATCCCTGTGAGTTCAAGGCCTGCCTGGGCTACAAAGTAAGTTTAAGGCCAGCCTGAACTGTATAGTGAAACCCTGTCTCAAAAAGGCAAACAAACAAACAAACAAACCAACACAAAAACCTCATAGCAGCCCTGGACTTCCTACTCAGTCTCCCTGCTTTACTTTTTTTGTTTGTTTGTTTGTTTTGGCGGGGGTGGGGGGGGTGGGGGGGTAGGTTCCGGTACCAGGAATCAAACTCATGACATTGTGCTTGCCAGGCAGGAGCTGCACCACTGAGCTAAATTCCCAGCCCCTCCCTGCTTTACTCTTGATTTTGCCTATTTCCACAGAACACATAAGCTCAATGAAGGGGGGCCCTTATCTAATTTTGTTCTTCCTGTTTTCGTTGTGTCCAGCACATAGAAGGAATTTAATAAACCACCTAGTTTAAAACCCTGAAGCTCTTGTTCAAACATGCTTTTATTTCTAAAACAGCTTCAGAACAGTCATCTATGATGATTAGCAACTCTAGCACAATTCTGAGCTGAGATAACACCATCACAGCAGCTTATATCTGTGGGAGGAAAGTTAAGAGAGAGACTATATAGAATGGATCATGTTAACTGGTTTTAGTGATTATACTTTAATTTTACAGCTAACAGTAAATTATCTAATTGTTGCTCTTATTAGTGGACAGGAGTGAAAAAAGGCTTTAAATCACAAACTTTCTTTTTGCTAAAGGAAATATCTATTACAAGGCTGGATCATAAAGGGGCAATTTTAGGGGCTGGGGATTTAGCTCAGCGGCAAAGCACCTGCCTGGCAAGCGCAAGGTCGTGAGTTCAATTCCTGGTACCGGAAGAAAAGACAAAAAAAAAAAAAAAAAAAAAAAAAAAAAAAAAAGGGCAATTTTAAAACTTTATAACCACCAAGATTTCAATCCTAAAAAAAAAAAAAAAAAAAAGGGCAATTTTAAAACTTTATACTATATTTAATTGGTAATATATTTGGATCCTAATAATAATTCTGAGAATAATACTCAAACCAAAAACTGAAGCCATGGGTTAGTATTTATTTTGATATAACCAAAGTCATGGCCAATAAATGCCAGAGATATAATTCAAACATACTTCACCTCTCTTTCCACTATCCTATACTATCCCAATATGAAGACCAACTTTGTACAAATGGATTAGGCAACCACATATCCCATCCTGACCCCATTTAACACCTTCTTTGGTCCTCCTCTATTTTAGTTGTCTTTCATTTAGCACCACCCCCCAAGAAAAACCTCAAATTTGTCCTAACTAGAGAGCAGGTCAATTCAGTCTTTGGGTTTCTCATGCATCGTAAGGTAAGACAATGAATTGGCAGAACTCAGTAAGTGAAGTATACACCAGCACCAACCGGAGAATAAACGTAATTTCCATTAAGTAGAATTTCAGTAATTGATATACAGAGAAAACAAATGGTCATCACAAGACATGAAGAACTTAGGAATTTTATATATATATATATATATATATATATATATATATCTTATTAAAGCAAAGACAGCGGGGCATGGTGGCACACGCCTGTAATACCAGCACTCGGGAGGCTGAGGCAGGAGGATCACTGCAATGTCAAGGCCAGTCTAGGATACAAAGTGAGCTCAAGGCCAGCCTGAACTGCATAGTGAGACTCTATCTCAAAAGGATAGATAGATAGATAGATAGATAGATAGATAGATAGATAGATAGATAAATAAATAAATAAATAAATAAAGCACAGGCTAAGTTCCTCAGGCTTGTGGGTGATGTCTAAGAAGAATACATCTTCTAAACCATCCAAGTCCCAGTACTCTTTGTTCAACAATCTTAGTAAGCACTAATTCAACCTTTTGAAGAATACCCCAGGTATTAATCGTGAATATGCTATACTCATTATTCCACTCTAAGAAACTGGCATTTTGACTTTTCCCTCCATCTCCTAAAGATGGCTGTAATGAGTCAAACCTCAAACACAAGTCAACCCCTCCGTACTCAGAAAAGGCCAATGTTCCGGACATGGCTAACTCTCAGGTTCTAGATGTGGTACCTAACTTTCAGGTTCTCTTCTTTATGAGCCTCTTCTCTAATCTTCCCACCACAGTGGCTATCCTATCCCTCTAGAAATCCTAAAATAATTAGTCTGGGTCATCCTGGGGCATTTGTACTAGTGCTTCCAACATGCAGCCCATGCTGCGTACAGCACACTAGCCTCTCTGAATTTCAGAGACACATGCACATACGTTATTCAAGCGCTGGCTCACTACTCTGGAAGTCTCCATAAGACAGTGTGTAACATTTGTACAAAACACAGCATTTATACTTTGCTGTGATTATGAATCAAAACAAACTTTATTTCAAGAAACGTGGGTATTTCCTTCAAAGCCATATTACCTGAATTACCTGATTTCCTCAAAGCTAAGAGAATTTTTCTTTCCAGCAACTTTTCCAGCGATACTTTACTGAACAATTTATAAATTATGAAAAACAATTTTCTACAAACATTATCAATTATACAATGTAAAGTTTCTGAAACCTTCAATGCAAAAATATGAAATAAGATTTATACTCTAAAGAGTAATTCTAAAGAGCAATAGCCCAGTGAATTTTCAGCCATATTTAAGAGGATCATATAAAAAGTGCTTTAGTTAGTAAATTACTGCAAATAGAAGAAAAACTCAAATTTAATAAAATTTTGAGGATACTGTTCAGTTCCACAGGATTATTTAAAAACATGCGATTTTATCCACTGATATCTGTAAAGCTAAATTCTAAAACTAATTCAAGAATAACCAAAGTTTCAATCTAGGGATATCCTAATATATTTTATTTGTTGTATTCATAATATAAAACAAAATTTTAGAAGCCTGAATGAAAACAGTATATTTTAATTAGAAAAGAATCTAGAGGCAGTGTAAGTATTTTAAAATGCCACAAGGCAGCAGTATAGTTTAAATCTTTATCTTCTGTTTTGGTTTTTTGAGACATGGTTTCACTCTATAATTCAGGCTGGCCTTGAACTCACAGAGATCCTCCCGGCTCAGCATCCTGAGTACTGGGATTATGGGCATGTACCACCAGGCCCAGCTATTTTTAATATTTCATTAGGAAAATAAGCAAAATACACATTGTTTCATCTCCTCACTTAAAATTATGGCTACATCAGCAATAAAACTGGATGCAAAAAGTGGGCAAATTTTTTAAAATGAGTAAATTTTACATAATGCAGCAACTCAACTTTATAATAGACAAAGGTATCCTAAAAGTTATGATGATATTAAGGTAAAGAATACCAGCTGGGCATGGTGGCACATGCATGTAATCCCAGCACTCGGTAGGCTGAGTTCATGAGTTTGAGGCCACGCTGGGCTACATAAGCAAATTCAAGGCCAGCCTGAACTGCATCGCCAGACCCCGTCTCAAAAAAACAAAACAAAACAGAAAACCAAATAGTTATCTGTCTGCTTTTGAAAGGCTCCTTTGTTATCATTTTACTTGATAATGGTTAACAGCCAAAGAAACACTGACCTCTGTTATAAAGTCCACAAAGTAAAATTGTGAAAATGTAACAAAGGGCACAATATCAAGCAGCATGCAAGAGATTAAAAAAGAAAACAACACAAAATATTGATCTCAATCCACCAAGTAGAAATTACTCCAGAAGTTAATACTGCCAAGTTATCTGGCAAATGCTACTGCTTTTATACAGATTTTATGTTCAAAAAGAATTAAGATTACCAAACAGAATTAGATTTCACAATTTATGACCCCTGTCCACCATAAAAGTGGTCTTTTATAAAGGCTTTAAGATCTTTAAAATCCATGATTTGTTCATAACTGTGTTCCTTAAAACAATGCCTTCAATAAACTTAAAAGAGCTGGATAACAAGGGATATACCTCCTTTAGAGAACCTAAAAGTGGCCAGGTGTGGTGGCGCATGCCTGTAATCCCAGCACTCAGGAGGCTGAGACAGGAGGATCCTTCCAAGTTTGAGGCCAGCCTGCGCTACAAAGTGAGCTCAAGGCCAGCCTCAACTGCACAGCGAGACCCTGTCTCCAAAAGACAAAAAAAAAAAAGAAAAATTGGGAACTTAAAATTATGCTTATCTTACTCTGCTTCTGAAAGATCTATGCATTCATAGATAACTGTTTTGATAGAGCTATCTTAATTTATGAGATAAAACTCGTAAAATATTATTGGGAAGTCTTGTTAACTCTTAATAAAATGTTCCAAAGCAGAAATACTTTCAACAGTCCCAGTACTTCTCCAACTCTTCAGTAATAATTTTTAAAGATCTCTATTCCCATACTTCCTTTCCCCACATAGACAACCAGACAATGGCAGGGAACATCAAGGGGCGGGGTGGAGGGAGCTCTAAAATATCGTATCACCACTGTTATGATTTAGATCTAAGTGTCTCCCAGAAGTCTCACGTGTTCAGAGACGGGGATTAATCCACTGATAGAAACTTAAGATGTAGGGCATAGTTGAAGGTAGTGGGTCATGAAGGTATGATCTTTGAGACTGTATCTTATCCCTGGCGCCTTACTTGCTGGCTTTTTCTTTCACTCTGTGCTTCCTGGCTGTCATAAGGGGAGTAGCACTGCTCGGCCACACCCTTCCACCACGATTCTTCTGCCTGGTAGCCAGTCAAACCATGGGCTGAAACCTCTGAAACCATACGCTAAAATGCTTCCTCCTCTATGTTGTTTCTCTCAGGTATCTGGTCACAAAGGCTAACTAAAACAAACACAGTGTGATATAGCTTAAGGAAAAAAACGCTTATCTGAAAATATACTTTAATAAAGCAGATCAAGCCCTAAAAAATTTAATAATCTGGATTCTATACTAAGATATTACAAGTTCCTTGTTCAATAAAAGAAAACAACTAATCTGTCTAAGTAAATTAGTGCTGTTTTGAGTATTTTTAATGTCTGCTATGAATTATTTTCCTAACCTTTTTCATTTCTTCCACATATGCAATCATGGCTTCTTCTTTAGTCATATCACCCAGTGAGCTCCAAGCATCCCTGGAAATGAAAATACACACACAATGACAACAAAATACCTGATTTTTCAATTGTGCACAATATAATAGTTGATGTAATATGATCATTAATTTAACAGAAGTTTTTTTTTTTTCCCCGGCACCGGGAATCAAACTCACGACCTCGCACTTGCCAGGCAGGCACTGTGCCGCTGAGCTAAATCTCCAGCCCCTGTGGTTCTTTTTTTTTGCAGTACCAGGGATCAAACTCAGGACCTTGAGCTTGCCAGGCAGGCGCTTATGCCACTGAGCTATATCCCCAGCCCCAGAAGTTCTACAAAGAACTATGTTCCAAAGAATCTCTCTAATAAATGTATCACCTTGAACAAAATTTTAAAATGTTTCGTCAACTATCACACATTGTTGAAAAAGTATAATCTAACGCACTTCTCTTAGACATTTGAAAAGTCTGCAGTAGTATTTAAGAATATAAAATGTTAGTCAATTGGGAAAATGGTAGAAACATCTTGGTACTTCATGATTCTTTTAAGTACATTAAAAATCTAATGCCTATTCAAGTACAATAGATCAGAAATGACAGCTAGATGAAAAATTAATGTGGCAGTTCTTGAGTCATACTCCTAGTTACACATTATCTTTAAGGCTCAAAGCAAATAATGTCACTTGACAAGCAAAAGTCCTATTTTTCTTGGCAGCTAAAAGAGGTAGGGGAGTTTGTTTGATCTTTTCCTTAGTTTGGGAGTTTCTCTGGGCATTAAAAAGAAGAGAAGAAGCCAGAAGTGCTAGCACATGCCTGTAATCCTAGCACTTGGAAGGCTGAGGTAAGAGGACTGCCATGAGTTCAAGACCAGCCAAGGATACACAGTGAGTTCAGGGCCAGCCTGAACTACATAGTGAGATCCCGTATCAAAAAACAAAAACAAAAACATACAAAAAGCACAAAAAGAAACAAAGACAAACTTCATAAAAGTGTTTTTTATTGTTCGTGTACTATACTTCTTAATTTTATTGTTTTCTTGTCTTCCTCAAGATTTTCCTATTTGTGTAAAACTGTATGGGGCTGGGGAAATAGCTCAGTGGCACAAGCGCCTGCCTGGCAAGCGCAAGGTCCTGAGTTTGATCCCCAGAGCTGCAAAAAAAAAAAAAAAAAGTAAAACTGTGTTAAGGGCACTTGAAAGATAAAAATTGTATCCAGATCTGGGGATATAGCTCAGCAGCGCTGTGCTTGCCTGGCAAGTCCAAGGCCCTGAGTTCGATTCCCAGGATCAAAAAAACAAACAAACAAAAAAATTGTATCCAGTATCTAGGACGCTTTACGTACAGAATAATATTTAACCACATAAGTAACAGTTGTATGATAATTATGTCATTAAAATTCTTTCTGAGCTCTATAAAGAAAATTACCATTTATATCTTCCAATAGGATCCCAGAATCCCGGCCTTGAAAGTTTACAGGGTCCTTCAGTTGCCTGTTTATAGAAACTATAGAACTTCAGCATCATTTCATGTGTTGGCTGGAAGGAACCTATAGGAAACATCCATTAAATTTAGAGCACTTAGGGAATACACCAATAATTGAAGGTCATATATTAGTTTAATCATAAAGTACTAGTAGTGAGTTTATATTTTATTGACAGGTCACATAATTTATTCCTAAGTTAGCAACAAAAGTTATGATAACTATTAATTCTTTGTTCTTCTGCTTTCAAACAACTCTGAAAATTTAAACTTTTACAATGCCAAAAATACTTCATTAAACAAACATGCTATAGATGTAGTACAAATAATCATCAAACATAAAAAAAAAGTTAAAACACAGACTATTACTATCCAAAGTAAAGCTATGACAATCAAAATAGACCAGTATAACTCTGGTTAATACAACTGCTACAGTAAAAATCCAACTCCTTCTGGACAAATTTCAATTTCCCATTGGATATAAGGAACTTTTTCTAAAGCCAACTAGTATATACTTTGGTTAAAAAAAAAAAAAAAGAATTAGTCTAAAATTCAGTAGATTTCTCAATTTTTACCTATGTAAGATTTTTTTTTTTTTTACGAGTATGAAAATTTATTGAAAACTAGGAATGGGGAATGGGGAATAGGGATGGAGAATGGGGAATGAGGAAAGAGGAACGGGGCACAGCCATGGGGAATGGGGAGTAGGAATAGCTCCTGAGAGACAGAAGGAGTCCTGAATGGGTTGCCCTACCTCGGTAAGTTTGAACTCATTAATTTCTTTGAAGATAACTCTTCATGTATTTTCTAACATATCTATAACCTTTTCTGTGTTTAAAAAGGTCAAACTGCATTCGCAAGCACTATAAGTTGCAATATTTTTAAAAGAAGTGAAAACCTGGAATGCTGTTTTATAATAAATGACTAAATAATTACGATATACACGTACAACAGATTAACTTATAAATATGGCCCTATATTGTATTATAGAAAAACATAAATAATGAAATGAGAAATTCCATGATCTGCTATAAAATAAGGGAGAAAAAGAACACATACAGTTGGCACACCTGTAATCCTAGTTGAAAAAGAACACATACAGTTGGCACACCTGTAATCCTAGCCCTCAGGGAGTCCAAAGCAGGCAAGTCTCAAGTTGAACCCAGTTTAGACAACCTATTGACTTAGCAAGACCTTGTCTCAAAAAATAAAAAATAAAAAAAAATGTTTAAAAGAGCTGGGGTTATAACTTAGTGCAAAAACCCTATGTTCAATCCTCAGTTAAAAAAAAAAAAAAAACACCAGCCAGGTGTAATGCACGCCTGTAATCCTAGCACCGGGAAGGCTGAGGCAGGAGGATTCCCATAAATTCTAGGCCAGCCTGGACTACATAAGCGAGTTCAAGACTAGCCTGTACTACATAGTAAGACCCTGTCTCAAACAAACAACAAAAAAACCAAACCAGTAGATACGATATGATCTATTTTTATAAAATAAGTTTTATATACATAAAAAGGATATATACATCAAATATTTCAAAGGGGTATCTCCAGATACAGATTTTATTTACCTTCTCATTTACCCATGTTTAAAAGTATTCTAACATTTTTTTCTCTTTAAAATGAAATATTTTACCATTATTACAAGTACTTTTGAACAAAAATTATTAAAATAAACTAAAAAGTTATTTGTAAAACTGCATAGCATAAAATGATAATGTGCCAATAAAAAGCTAGTAATTTACAAAAGCTGTGGAAATTACAAGACAGACAAGCTGAGAGCTGGTGTTTCAAGTCTGGCCAAGAGTGCATAATTAATTTAAAAACCACACAGTAATTATCTATATAATATATGCATATTTAGGAATTTTTTTTTGGTACCAGGAGTCAAACTCAGGACCTTGCGCGTGCCAGTACCACTGAGTTACCTCCCCGGCCCATATATGCATACTTAAAAGTATCTATTAGATACACGGTTTCAATGATACAGTTGTCCTTCAGAACACAGCAGGACAAGTGGAGAAACCACAGTGAGTAATTGTTACTAATATGTAACACAAAGCTAAATTTAAAAACTCAAAACTCACATCTCATAGTACCTTCAGTAAGCCAACCAAATAAGATTTAAGTTTACTTAGGTGAGTGAAATACACAATACATAAAAACATAAAACATTTACTGTATGTCTGCTGTAAGATATTAAAGAATGATCTCTGTCTTCAAAGTAACCAAATTTTTAATGTTTAAAGTATTATTTAAGAATTTACATTTCTAGGGGCTGGGGATATGGCTCAGTGGCATAAGCGCCTGCCTGGCGAGTGCAAGGTTATGAGTTCCATCCCCGGTACAGGAAAAAAAAAAAAAAAGAATTTACATTTCTGGGGCTGGGGATTTAGCTCAGCGGCACAGTGCTTGCCTGGCAAGCGTGAGGTCGTGAGTTCAATTCCAGGTAACGGAAAAAAAAAAAAAAAACAAGAATTTACATTTCTAAAAGCCAAAGCCACATCAAGCACAGATGCTGTAAAATTCAGTATTACTTCAGGCCTTAAACAAAGATTAAGCAAAAAAAAACCCCAAAAACAACACTATTTTGTTCTTTGCAAAATAGTTCAAAATAGAAAAAACTTTAAAATACTATTATAAAACATTTAATAATTCATTATAACAAACTTGCAGTTCAATAAATATCAATTTAGCTTCAGGGGGATAAAAGTACACAGTGTCTTTTTTATTCTGGGGATCAGAGCCAGGATCCTCTGCATGCTGAGCACAAATTGTATACTGAGTAATGGCCAGATGCTCCACAGTACTATTTGACAAGTTACCATGATTCTGCAAGACCTCCTTAAATGTTTTTTACTAAGTAGGATATAATTTAAAAGAGGCTGGAGGCATCAAATCTAGCTTTTTCCATTTTTAAAAAAAACTATAAACATGCATAGCTTTCAAAAGCAAATGTATTACTTACATAAAACTCCTAAGAGTCATACCTTTCTTTACATTTTGTTTATTCTTACTTACCTACAATAGGATGTTTGAAATTACAGAAAGAACACTATTATGTGTTACTTTGAAGACTTGCTGGGAGGTTGCTGGGGACTGAACTCAAGGTCTGGCTGCATGCTAAGCACAAGCCCCATCACTACTTCAAAACTTTTTGAATCTGCACTTAGTGAGATTTTATTGAGTGAACTGTTTTATTGAGTGAACTGTTACAAATATTCATTACCTAGCCAAATGATAATATAAAAAATGAAACCCATGAACAAAATATTAAATACTATAGTAATACATCAAAGTGATATCCAGTTAGGTTTACAATTCTGGCACAATAATAATGCTTAAAAAGCATTCTTTAAAATATAGTTTATTGTAAAGATTAATTCGTGAGATGTAAAAGAACATGAACTGGAAAAGAAGTCTCCCCAAGCTTTCCCACTTAGAAAAAATATGCATATATGTAAATAATGGCTGGAAATTTTCCAACATTGATGAAAGACGAAATTACAAATGCGAAAAGCTCAGCAAACTGTGAAAAAGATATACAGGAAAAAAGCCACACCTAGACACACCATAGTCAGATTACTGAAAACCAAAGAAAAAAATCTTGAAGATACCCAAAAAAATAATATATTAAATACAAGAGAACTCGTCTTGGCTTTTCTCCCATCCTGAAATCAAGGTCCAATATGAGTGTAAAAGAGAACAGTAAAACAATACAACAGCAAAAAAAAGTAACGTTAAGTAAAACAAAAAGAATCGTTTTACTGATGAATATAGCTGTTCTTTTCCTTTGTTCTTTTCCATTCTTTCCTATCAAAAGTTTTGAAAAGGTTTGAACTGTAGACTGCAGGTATGTGTGACAAGGCATCCCCAGCTCTGATTTTTTCCTTTTTTTAGCATACTCAAAGAGGCAGTCATTAAGTGAGAAGCCCTCGGTTTCAACAATGTGAACCACTTAAAATCTGGATGATACATTCATCTCTAGCACGAAAGATCACCAAGTAATTCATTCACATTCAAGACCGACCCTTCAATCATTCTTTTTCAACACATTAAAAAGTAGGATAAACAAGTCACACAGAGGTGACGTTAAGACACCGGGCCGGGCCTCCGCGGGAGGCCGAGCGCGTACCATTTTTCGGCAAACTCTGGATCACCTTGACGGCCGCCTCGAACCTGGTCTCGTGCACGGATTTCGTGTCCGCCATCTCCAGCCGCCGGCGCCGGCCGCGGTCCCAAGAGCTGTCGGCGGGGATCAGGCAGCAGCAGCAGCACCAGCTTCCCCAGGAGCCTGCATGAAACTGGAACATGGAGCGCAGCCGCGGATCAGCGTGCCCCGAAGGGCGGAGATGACCCAGGAGCGCAGCTGGTCGGGTCCCCTCTGCCCTGCCCTCTCCGGGCCACTCAGACCGAGGCGACCCGGCTCCCGCCTCCTCCCCGGGGCGTGACCAGGCCCGCGCTCGGCCTCGACGACGGCGAGCAACTCACGGAGAGGAAGAGCATCTCCAGCAGAAAGCAGGGGGCGCTGGGCGGGCGGCGGTGGCGGAGCCGCTCTCCCCGCGGAAGGACGCGGGCCCGGCCACACCCCCCATGCCCGCGGGGCTGGCGAGGGC